ACACACACACACACACACACACACACAGCAATCAGCAGAGGGTCCCATTGCGCAATCACGCGTGCACATGTCGCAAGCTCACTGTGTGAGATAGATGTCCGGACGCGTAGCCTAGCGGCTCCTCGTCCGGAACCGGTCGCGTAGTCACGGCCTTTTATTTATGTGTTTATGCTTCCCTGGTACTTGTACTGCCTACTTGCAGTACTGGTAGTGCAAGTGGTAATCTTTATTTAAATTTATTTTCTTTTTGCAGGTATCCACTTTATCAACTTGGGAATCCACGGACGCGGGTGTTTCTACCAGATTTTTGGATGAAACTAGTTGCTTCTGTCCGAGATCAACCCAAACACATTGTTACCTTCCATGTGCATCCTAGGTGATTATTATTGCGTACAATTAACGCACTTGATGTATCGCAAAATGATGCACAAATCTCCTGGACTGTGCAATCAGTAACACCAGTTATAAGTTGGGACTATGGTTAGGTCTAGCAATTAGCATCAGGAATTCTTTTACAGTTGAAGTTCTGTTTGATTTTATATCCTTGTAGCAGATATCTTACTCTACCCCACATATAGATTTTGAATGTTGTCAATATTCGTGTCTGTCTTGTCAACTGAGATGCATGTTTCTGAGCTGTTAAAAAAGTGTAATTATGACAATATTAAAGTACAGTAAACTCTAGAATATTTGACATAGAGTTTAATTTAAACTGATAATCATGGATTTCTTAGAAGTTGCCTGAAACAATAGAAGCACCTAGTGTTACATCCGGTCCACTTTATAGAAATTTATAGCATTTGAAGCAACAATTGTATGTGGTCACACATTGATAATATAACTATCTTCTCTTCAGAATGTCAAAGCTGGATGCAAAAAACTATCTTGAGAAAATCTATGGTGTAAAAGTTGCAAATATACACAAGCGGATAATAGCAGGTAAGATTCACACACGTTAGTAAACACACAAATGTAAAATGTTTTTATGTTTATAAATTTTTTATAATCTGTTGGGTATTTTCTTTAAGAACATAAAAGAAGATTTTAAAATATTCCCATGCAGGTGAACCTATTTTTAATATCTCATGTCTGTCTAACATACAAATATAGAAATGTTTAACATCTAAATAAAAATAGAAATCACAGCTGATTTTGTTACTGACTGTAATGCTAAAAGGACATACGATATACTGCTGTAGTTTTACTAATGGTAAACACGGTTGTTGGAATACATAAATCAATGCATATTATATGTTTAGGGGAGTACAAAAAGCATCCGTTCTATGGACATGTCACGGAGAGAAAAGATGAGACAAAGGTCTTCTTCATTCATCTGGTATGTTCCATATTGTTAGTTGTTATAAGTGTATAGGGTAGTAGAAGTATATAGTAGCAACTAGTATAGGGTAAAAGAAAGTGCAACTCAAAGTAAAATATACGTATGTTTATTTATTATTACCACTCGGCTATTGCATACATTTTTCAGATGCAACCATTAATTTTCTATGTGAATAGACTTGAAAAATGTGATGCATGTGTCAGTAACATCAAAATATGTATAATGTTGTACGTAATTATGTAATCCAAGTATGTAATAATGTAAATATGTATATGTATGGTATAATGTATATATGTATATCAGGAGTTAATGAGACAAATATTTATATCATATTATATATTATATATATTTATTATTATTATTATTATTATTATTATATATTATTATATATATATTATATTAAATATTTATATCATTTTATATTATATGAGATATTTGTCTCATTAACTCTTGATGTATATGTATGTGTGAATAATTTAGTATCCTTAGCATTACTTAGATGATGAATTCGGCCCAATCTATTTGTCAGTAGAAAATGCTACTCAGATAGAGGAGCACTATGCATTACTTTACTGATAATTCAGTTGTTACTAGCACCTATTTTATTTATTTACTGGCTATAATTGTCTCACATGGTACTAGCTTAACGGGTGTTTTGACTAGCCAGTTAATTATTTTTACTTTTGGCTTCACTAGGCTGACGAACAAACGTTTGAATTTCCGGATATATTTCCTGAGGATAAGAAAAGCAGTTCGGAGGACCAGATAAAGCAGTACTCAGAAATACAGAAACAGGCACGGAAAGATCAAAACGTTCAGTGGAAAGAGTACCGACCTGGGGTACCATCTTGGTTTAGTTTATAGCATTTCGTCAAATTAAACTTCCAAACTGTAAATGAATTTGTACTGAATGTATAGTATAATAATTATGTTAGCATATGTTTTTATACATAACATGCTTCTTGTTGAAATGTCACCTTTGTGTATGCTATTAGTTAAATTAAAAGAATGTAATAATGAAACAATATTTGAATATGTTGTTTACAACTGTTTCTTGTTTGCCTGTTGGGCAATTGCTAATCTAGAAGTTGCGCATTATATCTTCAGGAGTGTCATAATATAGACATCGGGCGTGAATGCCCGCCACTTGACTAGGTAAATACCGAAAACCATGTCTGATGTTCGATGCTATAACTACATAATAAGAAGAGGTATCAATACAAAGTAAAGTGTGAGGGCAAGTGGGATGTACAACACTACTTCTGGTGTCATTTTTATTGAGTTTCACGAAATAAATCCTAGTTAAACTAGGGCATGGATATGTTGAATTTCTTGTCTTTCCGGCGAGTCATATCCCTCTATATTATGACAATCCTGATATCATTACAGTCAAAATTGTTTCCTGGAGAACAAGTAGTTTACTTTGTATTCAAGTTTTTAAAGTATTTTCAATCTGGGCATGACATGTGAGTAATGTAAGTATGACATATGACATGTCAAGACAATGACATGACAATAACATGACATGACATGACAAGCATGACATGTGAGTTATGTGGGTGTTGTGACACTAAAATTGTTTTGCCTACAAAAGTATAAATTTAATCTAAGACCTTATACAAAAATCTGCATTTGTTTAAAAAAATTGCACAATGCAAAATACTGTATACGCTGTATATTTCGCGGTGGTTTAATTTTCGCGAATTTTGCGAATGCATCCCCGACCGCGAAAATAACAACGCGAATAATTCATACCGAATAATACCGAATAGTTCATAATTCACCGGCCGCGAAATTAACCACTCGCAAAATTGTCCATCAAGTCTGGATTCGCGAAAATATCTGTACGCGAAAAATATGGCGTATATACAGTATACTTAGATTGGTTTTATATTTAGCAAAAATGTGACTCAACAAGACCTCTAAGGGCCTCTAAGATTATCTATAACTCATTTATTTGCCGTCGTTATTTGCATCCGTACTGAGTTTGAAGGGCATACAACTGTCACTCCTGCAATGTATATTCTTGTAAAACTATGCACATGCGATTAAGGCAGTTCAGTTTTTGGTTCAGTCAACTTTGTTTGTCCTAAATAGTAGTTTTATGTACGTAATTTTACTTCAATTCAGGAGGTGGATCATAAGGTTAAAATATGCAAGAATATTGCAGTTAACAATATCCACACAGTTGCCCTGTTTTCTGATATTTTTATTATTATTAATAGTAGTAGCAATGACAATACCAGTATTTTATATCTTCTTTCGAGGGTTGCAGTTTATTTCCACGTACCGGTCGGTATGTGACTATGTGGAAACGCACAATTAACAGACTCTAATCAGACAATCATGTAATATAATTATATTACGTGCAATGACGTGCGTATTTTCTTATAATACGTGTAGTATTCATTTATGAGCGTAGTAAGTATGTTTTTTTCCTATGGCCATTTGACCCTTACGCAAATATTAATCAATTATGGATAATCCGTCCGTTTTTCCCTACGGCCCCTCTACGCACCGCAATGCTTGTCTGTATGATGCTAACGTCATTCAGCGGGTTCCGGTAGATGCGTAGTACGTCTCTGTGGACGTACTAGGTGTTTCTCGTGGGGGGCTTTTGCCGCGATTGCATCGATTATGAATGAGCGCGGCACAATAACCCCTAGAGCGCATGCGCACAGCGCAGCCGCACGAACCCACCTGCGAGGTTGTTACACCTGGCATATCTGGCAAGACCATTCGCGTGCGCTCTCGCTCTCGCCAGAGCGCCATGATGATGATGCACAGCGGAAAACACTGAGCGAGCAATGGGAAGCCGTTCGACGTTACCGCTACCGTCGGGATGTGTGTCGGTGCGTGGCACGGCTCCGTACAGGTGACAGACGTGATGACAACAGAGCCGTATTCGTGTCGGAGCGAGAGCGATCGAGCGAGCGTGCGCGTGCCTGCGTCGTGTTGCGTGGTGTAGCGCGAACGGTCGGTCACACACTGGGATGCGGGCGGTGTCATCACCGACGCTCCTACTACAGTCGCATCCGTGGATCACATGGATGTTATGCAGCCTGCTAGTGTCAACTCCCGTCGATGGTGAGTTAATCTCTGTTTATTTCCGTCATATATATAGAATTATATATATATATCGTGGTCATTATTTCGAAGAATCGCAAAATCATTCGTTCATAATCCGTTCGAATTTCGATTACATATAATATAGTACATTTCGATTTATGTTCCTGTCGGTTACGTGTATGCGTTTATTACCTTTGCTAATGAGTGAAGTAATGAAAATACGTTAGACAGAAAAAATCCCCCGTTACTTCTTGTTAGGGCACGCAACAGTAAGCATATATCTTAAACGCATTAATGATTAAATCACCTGCGTGTGATGTGGGCGCGGCCAATTCGAGAGTACGGCACCGCGTTGATTAAGAACGCGGTAATGGCTGTCGGACTTCATTTTGTCCGTATTACGTGATTGATGGCTGAACGAAGGCGAATTAATTCCATATCGAATCCGTCGGGGTATCGCGTTCGATAGGGTTGGAATGCCCGTCGTACCGGGACACCTGCCAGATATCATGCTCGAACTTTGAGAGGCCGACCGAATGCATACCGTGCGACTGGGTATGTGACGGCAGCGAAGACTGCGTTCGCGGCAACGACGAAAGTGCTGCCTCTTGTCGGGGAGGTGAGTGTCAGAATGTGTTGGTCGGCTGCCCGTGGTCTGTAGTCTCGTAAGTCAGAATAGCTTAGAAATTTTCTTGCTTATGCACGGCAGGGATCGTGGCGAACTTGTTTTTAATGATGCACACACTGGGGTATTTCTATGCTGGGGCATAAACTTTTATCATTTTTATTTTTATTTTGCGAAATTTCACATTTCGTCGCGGATATTTGACATATATATTTGAAAAAAAAATAGAAATAGAAATAGAATAAATATAAATATATAGACTATTATAACTAGTATATTATTTCTCTATGTTTAGTTACAACGAAGAGCTAGAGAACGCTTGAGCTCATATTACGTGACTATTTTATTTATTTTTAGTGGACGCCTGCCAAGCTAACCCATGTCAGAACGGAGGCAGCTGTTTAGCGTACCCAGCGACAGGCTATTATCTAGCATTCTTTGTCTGCATCTGTTGTCATGGATACACCGGTCGACTCTGCGAAATCCAGTCTCATCCGTCAGGTGATGCTAACGCAATCATTATCATTATTCATCATCATTCAGAAATCAGAAATCATTCATTTGCAATCGCGTACACGAAAGAAACGCGACAGCGAACTTTATTCGATATGTTATGCGTAAATATCACACAGTGTTTAGCCTGCATGATAGAGCTTGTGCATTGTTTGCATATTTAATCGTACGCTGTAGCGCGTGGGGGGATTCATTATTAATTACGGCCAAAGCGGCGTTGCCGTGTGCTAATCACTGGCCACAAATACAGGTAGACCTCCTTATTGATTTAAACTGTGACGTACGCAACATGTATAGGCTACTGTACGTGTGCATTTAACCTAACTGATGCGACCCGTCTAGGAGAGTATTCGCATTCATACGCGCAAATAAATTATAGGGAGGCGTAAAATGATAAAAAAAACTATTAAATTGAGCACAATATATTGTTGCAACCATAGAAATAATATACTAGTTAGATCTTTAGTTAGGGTGTCTATATATTTCTATGGTTACAACAGTATCGGGGTATAATGTGGGCACGTGTTTGTTTACGATGTGTTGCCGGGGCGACGCAGCGAAGCGTCTGCTCATCGCTCAGGCACGCACTGACGTCACAATGCGTATTGATTGCAGTCGGCGACGAGTGCGTGCCTAACCTCGATCCGACGACGCCGCTGCCGCTGATTCGTCCACGATCGACGGTCGCCGTAAAGTTTCACTTCGACAAGTCGTACCGCGTCGCCACCGAGCGACCGTCGCCCGCCGCACACCCGCCGACGACGTTCATACCGCCGGTGTTCCGGAGACGGAAGACGACACCGACGACGACGACGACGTCGACCGAGCAGGCGATGTTGCCGACGCCGACGACGGAAGGTGCGCAGCAGCAGCAGCGGGGGCGCCAGGAGGCGTATGAGAGTAATGAGTATCTGCTGGGTAGAGTGCTCGACTTGGAAGACACGCTGCGTGCGATTTCCGTACAGCGTAGTTACGCGAAGGGCGATCCGATCCTTGTTCCCGCCCTGCCGTCGCGACCACCCATCCCCCCTCCCACCCTGCCGTCGCGACCACCCATCCCCCCTTCTACCCTGCCGTCGCGAGCACCCATCTCCGCTCCCGCCCGCGCGACGTCCTTCCCGCCACCGCCACCCACACCTGCAGCGTTTCCAGCCACGCGCGCGTTCGTGGCGACCCCTTCTGTCGAGATAAGTTACGGGCACGTCGATAAACGCAGTACGGAGCATGCTGCCGACAACCAACTACCGCCGACGGTTGTCGGCGACGCTAACCAGAAAGCTGGCGACGCGAAGCACAGCATAACTCCCTTACTTAGAGGCGACGTGGTGACCACTATGCGGGCTACCGACGCCGCTGGCGGTCGCTGGAAGATAGATGGCGACACCTCCAAGCGCGTCGATGAGCGCATGCGCAGTAGCAGCGAAGCAGACGACGCTCGGCAGACGAACGTGCATGTGCACGTGCATCTCCACTACGCCCCTGAGAGTCCTGCCGATTCTCCCGGAAGCGGTTTCTCTCGCGGACGTCCGCCGGTGAACGACGCCGACGCGCAGGCGCAGAGCGCAGCCGGAAATCCGGACGCCGCGCATACTGTACCGCCGTCGCCCGTGCGCGCGACGATCACCACTAGCACGGCGTCGTCGACGACGGTAGCCGACTGCCCGTGTACGCTCACAACCGTGCCTGTGACCACGTTAACTAGTAGCTCCACATCGACCGACTCGTCCACTCGCTTGACTACCACAACCAGTGCCACCGAGTCTACGATTGCTGCTGAAACGACTGTAGCTTTCTCCACGGGCACGACGACGTGCACGGCCGTTACGGAGGCTGCCGCTGCAACTACGGCATTGCCCACAACAGTTATAAGCTGTACGTCAGTAAGTGAGGCCGTCTCCACGGCAAGGAGTACGCCTGTTGTCACTCAAGCGTCTCCAGTTGCCGAACGTGTTACTACACAACCCACACCAGTTACCACACGTGTTACACAAGCTACATCAGCTACCAGACGTGTTACACAAGTTACATCAGCTACCAGACGTGTTACACAAACTACATCAGCTACCACGAATGCTATGCAATCGACAACGCTTGCCACGCATGCTACACAAACAAAACCAG